AAAAACTTAAAAAAAAAAAAAAAAAAAAAAAAAAAAAAAAAAAAAAAAAAAAAAACACAAAACACAAAACGCAAAGGAAAGAAATAACACCCGCGGGACTCGGCGCGCGCGATCTGGGCGGTCTCTCTCCTCCGCAGAGAGCGCTTTTCCCCCTCTCGCTTCACGCGTTTTAATGCATCGTGTGATTCTTCGATTTCACCCCGGCGATTCTTTCGATACACGCATACTCTAGCATCTGTCGAGTCACCCACAGGCAGGGGGAGGGGGTGTAAGGCGGTGTTGGATTCTTTGATGCTGGTTTTCCCTGTTTTGCCGGATCCAATGCGTTGGAAGAGGAAAAATATACCCAAGGGACACGTGTGGCTTTTATCGAAACCCCCCTGGGGGGCCAAGGGAAAAGGGGGATTTCATCGCCGATATTCAGGGGGTATAATATTCAGTTACCCACGATCAAAGTTTTTCGTCGGCGTGTGATGAAATTATACCCGCACGGACACCCCCTCGATGCGTTATTCGTGTTGAAAATCGTCTTTTGTTGTTTAATTTTTTTTTTTTTTAATTTGTACACTTACAGAAAATTACTGTACAGAACTATACCCTCGGAGCAAAATTCACTTTGGCTCTGAAGTAATGTTTAAAAGCCCTCCCCCCGACCGCCCCCATTTCCCCCCTTGGAAGAATAGCGTGTAATCTACATCGACGTGCAAATACCCGAGGACTCGCACGACACAACCGGTTCCAGCTCGTGATGACGATCTTTGAGCGAAGTGGCTTACTTTGCGCGCAGAGGCGGCAGCTGCGTTATTACAGAATATTGGTGATTGGTGCCTTGAGGCCATGTACACATATATAGTACACTATAGGTGGCGTTGCACGCGAGGAAGAAAAAAAAGGGGCACAGCTCCTTTTCAGATTTTTTTTTTTTTTTTTTTTTTTATACAGGCCGCTGTTGAAATGCGACAACATTGACGATGCAGCAGTGACGAGCAAGCATCGACAAGCACAAATGTATCTGAGGCTCACAATATCCTGTCCAGCGTCCGTATCCAATAGGCTACCCGGCTTTTTTGTCTGGGAGCTGAGAAACCACCGACGCCTTAGATTCCAATGAGACATTAAATTACCATTTTTTTTTGTCACTTTATCTCGATTTTACGATTTTAAACCATTTTGCCATATTTTCTTTTTTTTTCTAAACTAAGTTTGTACATCGACGTTTTATTACATTTGTTTGACTGACGTATATTATTTTTTTTACTTTTGTAAATCTACCGCTCGCGAGATGAAGACTATAACTTGGTAGACCGTCTTAAACGTTTTATTACGTATTTGTATTTTTAACTATATTTATTTATTTTTCTCTCAACCAAACTGAAACTTCTATACACAAAAATATTACAAAGGGCGACAATGAGGTGAGAAAAAGCAGAGAAATAAATTTTATCAAGTTTTAAAAAATCTTTTTATTTGCTCAATGATATACTTATATTTGTCTTTTTCCTCGATATCGACGATTAAACAGTACAAATGTCGTAAGCTAAGATCTCCACCATCCATCTAATGCACAAGTTTATTTACACGTGTCTTTCGGCACTCGAATCTCTTAATTTTTCGCAGCTATGCTGGTTCTTTCCTCAGCCTCGACGTGCAGTTTCTGTGGCACCCACACGGATTCGTTGAGATTTTTGGCTCTGTCTTCCAGGATACTGAAGACAAAGTGATTGATGTGCGTGCCTCTTGCTACAGATATACCCTGAAAGCGGTACATCCTATCCACCTCGTCGGACTGAATCTTGTGTACAGCAGCAATGGTCGTTTTTCCAATGATGCTCGTATGGCCTACCATGGGCCCTTTGCTGATGTCGATGTGATCACCCGCTCGATACAAAATCACTTTGCCATCATTCAATTTAGCGATTTCCGGTATCTGTTTACTTTTGTAAGGATTATCCTGGAACATGTCAAGAGCCAAGGATTCCGTGACTTCGAGCCTTTCCAAGGGCAGAGCGTCATTTGTCAATTTAACGAACTGCGCTGACAAAGCACGCATTTCCGCGGCTGTTGGTTTCCAGTCAGGTAGATCTATAACTGCGTCGTGCACGTAACTACCGGATTTAACGTTTGGCCTTGGAAAGCTGAAAAATTCAGTTAAATTACAATGTTTTGAAATTGATAAGACATAGTGTTCGAGCCATAACATTTTGGATGAACTTTTAAAGACTCTTACCTGTGAAGGTACAGCTGTATGTGATCTTTGAAAGAAGACTCGATCATGGCCCCCAGCAAAAACGAACAGGTGCGCCAGAAAGCAGAATTGACGGATGGTAGCTGCTCAGGCATCCTCATGGTCAATATCTTAAGATCGCAGTTCTGTTCCAGGGGTCTGTTCATGTCCCAGGGCTGTCCGTTGACCAGTGCTATGGCACCATACTGGTATATATCATCCGACACGTGCTTGGCACAATCACTCGGCGTAGACAGACTCTTGTTCATAGCCATTTCAATGACTTTGTCCTCTTCTGAGGTTGGTTGGAACTTCACCATTATCTTCTCTACTCTGCCCAACTCGTGCTGCAATCGGCCCACCTCGTTGTCGAATATAATGTTCCTTCGTTTCCTCCATTCTGCTTTGATTGACGTGCCAGTGTTGCTCGCATCTTTGCTGGAGAAGCGGCGCGGCTGCAACTGTGGCTGGACCCTGAGTCCTAGACGACATACACTTCTGAACCTAAAAATAAAAAGAAGACACATTTTCATTACCAATTAGTGTATTTTTGAAATCGGTCAATGATAGTCAACTAAATACCCTTGGATCATCATCTCAAAAAAAACACTTGTCTACCGCAGCTTGGAGGTTATATAAAATACTTTTATCAGTCAGTAGAACAATCGGCTGACATAATGTTTCGCATTATTGTTTCAGAAGGACAAATTCACCTGCTGTTAGAATATATAAAAGTAAACAAAGTTGCAAAACTATTGAATCATTAGGGGGGAGGAAAACACTATGTGATAGACCGCGGACAGAAAAAAAACAATGATTAGGCAGACCACACACCACAACAATAACACTATTGTTGGTAATAAAGTTTGTGAGTGGTAATAGGTTTCGGAATTGTGGTTCATGTCTGGGTTGCTTGTAGTTTCACTCGTATGGTAAATTTCGTCTCAGTCGGTAAACGGGGGTGGCTGACTAAAGATTTTTTTTTTCAATTAAAAATCGAATTAGAATAATTAAAAGTTA